TCTTATGATCTGATTGTAATTATTGGTCTTTCTGGCCCGAGGAACGCTTGGACATTTTGAGCCCACAGCGACTGTGAAACACAACGCCTCGGAAATGAAGAGGGAAGAGGAGGAAAAAGTGCGAAGATATGCGTGGGCCCATTGTAGCGCACAACGCACGCTTACATCGTAACGACCATGCGCACTACAGCGATTGTGTACACCACGGCGCCTGTGTACACCACAGGGCTTGTGATGTGTACACCACAGTGCTTGCGTACACCGTTGCCTGCGCACACCACGGCTGCTGCTACAACGACAGATGCGTGCGCCAGAACGCCCGTGCACACCGCACTGCCTGCGTGCACCACAGCGCACGCCCGCGAACACAACAGACCCTGGCCTGCCCGAGATCGCGCGCTGGATCGGGGTCGGGGCGTTACCGCTACAGGGGGGGGGAGGGGGGGGTAACATGCGTTACCCCTTGGGTGGATAAAAAATTGGTTTCCTTCACAGTCGGGCGCTCTGTGTGTTTCAGCGCTGCTTCGCATACGGCCGTTCTGCTGTTTCTTTCTGCCCATGCGTCCTGCCGGATACCCGGCTCAGTGACGACAGTGGTGCCCAAGCGCGGTGCCCAGGGCTGACGCATGGGGGGACCAAATCCTCTGCCGCCTCGCGTTCGGCGATCGGGGGACCCCGTTGTGCCCGCACCAGAGGTCACTCCCGGGCGCGTGCTAATGGAAGGTGGCCCAAAGTGGGGGTTAAGACGAAAACGGCCCTAGAGGGGCCCTTTGGGGTCCCTTTTGGGCCCCTGCTGGCGCCAACAGGGGCCCTAAAGTGTCCCTTTCAGGGCACTTCTCTTTACCTCCAATATGGGCCACCCCCCATTACAATAGGGGCTCGACCAAAAGAAACCTCGCACAAGAAACGCGACGCTGAGACCCCAGGACGCCCATTGAGTGCGAAAGCCACGCCTTCCATGGCAGAACCATCGAAACCCAAGAACCCCAGGGCACCCTGGAGGCATTTCTTGACATGCGCTCCCTCTGTACAGTCAAAAACCCCAATAAGGACGCGCGGTACGGACGCAAGACCCTTGGAAGCCGAGGTGGGGATTTTGGGGGGGCGGACGACGAAAACCTCAAGGACGCAAGAGCAAGGAAGAGCAAGGACGCAAGGCTACCCTGAGCAAAGTCGCGCGTCCTTATTAGGGCTTTTGACTGCAGCACCCGCCCGACACTCCGGCGAAGGGCCACTCCTCCGCCTCGTCGGCCCCCGCGGGCGGCCTTCGCAGGCCCGAGGCGGGGCGCGCTTCGGAGGCCGGCGCAGCCCTGGGCGGAGATCGGGCCGGGCGAAAGGGGGGGACAGCAAAGGGGGGGTTTGAGAATCAGCTCACGCGTAGCTGATTTTCCCGGCGCCTCCCGGCGCCATCGAGGCGGCCATGTACCGAGGAGTGGACCCCTCGGCGGGGCCGAAGCCAGCTACATGCAGCAGATTTCGTACCCCCCCCCTTTCCCAGTCCCCCCCTGTCGTCCGGCCCGAGGAGAGAGGCGCCACGGGGACGGGCCGGGGCACGGCCGGGGTAGGGCGCGCGGCTCCCCGCCGCCCCTCCGCGCGCAAGACGAAGCCAGGGCGAGGATAGCATCGGGTACGGACAACGTTTGCACCGAGGGTCTCTGAGATCCGGCGGCTCTCGGGCGCCGCGGCCTTCTCAGAGCGTTCCAGAACGTTCTGAGAGCGTTCCCGGACGCTCTGGAACGGACTGATCCGACCCCCCCCTGGGGGGGATAACAATGAAGTACCGATACCGCCACACCCCCCAAAGGGACCTCTCCGGGGGCGCGGTCTGACCAGACAGTCGAGGCGAATCCAGCCGCGGCGACGAGGGCCTCCCAGGAGGCCGAAAAGGGCGAACAAAACGAGGAGAGCGCAGCAGTATCGGTGCGTCTTCCTCCTCTGATCCTCCCCGATCGCTGCCTCGCCCAGCCCCCAGGCTGCCGATCGCCCTACCCTGGGAGTCAGGGCCGCTGGAACGCCGGGTCAAAAGAGCTCTCCCACAGACAAGGGCCGCTGGCCGCCGCGCCGAAGGGCGCGGGATCCCACGCGGGCCCGCCGTGGGAGCCTGTACAGGTCAGGTCGGGCACCCCGAGGGCGCCGAAAAAGGGCGATGCCCTACACGAAACAGAGGTCTGCCATCCCGTTCGGCGGCGCGCGCAGGGGGAGGGCAGACGGAGGCGGGCCCTCGCAGGAGGCTCAGAAGGCGTCCAGTCTTCTGAGGAGCTTCCTGAGCCATCTCCCGCCGCCTTCTGAGAAAGCCTGCCCCACCAGGGCGCGCCGCCGACTACTTCGTTCAATGTGGGAAAATATCCGATCGAAAAAATCTCCGGACAACCTACCATGGAACCCAGACAACCCATGCTGCAAAATGACGGCAAGGCGGCCTAACCCCCGGACGACCGCGTGGACAACCCAGCGGGGATCTGGACAACCCCTCTGGACAATCCCCCTTGGACAAGCCTACCCGGGATTTTTTTTCCATGAGATACGATATACAAATCAAAGGTCTACCACCCAACGACTCCACTGATACATGCACGAGAAGAGCGGGTGCGGATGTGAGCACTGCGCACGATGAAGCGTGCATTGGCGATTGACTTCAACGGGGTCTTGAGTACGTCTGGACATGAAACAACTGTGCGCTTGGGGATACGTTCAAGTTTGTCACGTGCGTGATTGCGTATTCCCGCTGTTGCGTCGTGATATCCCTCCTCCTCCTCCTCCTCCTCCTCCTCCTCCTCCTCCTCCTCCTCCTCCTCCTCCTCCTCCTCCTCCTCCTCCTCCTCCTCCTCCTCCTCCTCCTCCTCCTCCATTACCCGCTCGCGCCGCGGGCGGGAAGGGGGGGCGGAGCGGAAGGGACTCACGCAGGCCGCTGCTAAAGCCACGGGCCTCTAGGCTCTGACGGGCGAGGGGCTCTTCCCCTGGACGTCCTCGGGAGATCCGCCCGCGCGCCAATCTGGCCCTCCTCTGTCCTCCTCCTCGTCGTCGTCCTCCTCCTCTCCCTCCTCCTCCTCCTCCTCCTCATCCTCCTCCTCCTCCTTCGCATCCTCTCTCTCTCTCTCGCTCTCTTCCCACTCCTCTCCCTTTGTCTCTCTCTCTCTCTCTCTCTATATCTCCCTCCTTCCCGCTCCTCTTCTTGCATCTCCTGGGCGTAGCGAGGGGAGGGGAGTACGACCGCCGGCGCATGCGTTGGGATACCCCCTGGTCCTGCACCGCCGGAGACAGCTTCACGATGGCGTCCGCGGCTTTGCCCTCGAAGGCGATTTGGTAGATGGCAGGCGGCCCCGGGCTCGAATCGGCTCGACAATACAGCCAACCCGCATTCTAAGGACGCACGATAAGGATGCCAGGGCCTTGAAGGCCGTGCCGACACTTTGCGAGCGAGGCGCGGCCAGCGAACACGGCCAAGGATGGGCCAACGGGGCAAGGAGATGCAAGGGTAGCGTTGGAAAGTTGGTCATCCTCACTACGCGGGTTGACTGTAATGGAAGACCCGAAACCTCCTAACCCGGCTCCCCGCCTGTACTGATCCCCTACAGGACACGCGAGAGGGCACAAGACCCTCCCGGGGGGCACAATGCCATATGAATGTAGAAAGCATGGGTCGCGAAACACAGGACACGCGGGTACCCTTGACTTGGCAGGGTCGACCTACTAATCAGACTCGACTGTGCAACTACTGCTGCGCCAACGCGGAAGGAAGCCCTCGCCGCGTCTGCCACGCCAGTGGTCGGCTCCCGTCCAGCGCCGAAGGAATTCCTCTTCGTGCCCCCATGCTGAAAGATCCCTTCGTCGTGATCCGCCCGCCGCGAGCCTCATCCCAGCCCCCCCTCCTCCTCCATTCCTTTTTCCAAATGATTTATTTATCCCTGTCGCACCCCGAAGCCAGTTCTTAGGGCGGGCCGGACGTTTCGCCTGAGACTTCCTCGCCAATCATGACCCTGAAGCGTCAAAATTTGCAACAGCTTCACAAATGGAGGGCGGGTCGTTTTCAAAATGTGGCTCTCGCCTTAGCACATTCGTCTGAAAAAATACAAGAGTTTGACGGATTGAGGGCGTGTCGTTTTCAGAATGTGGCTCTTGCCTTGGGGCGGCGTGCATTCGTTTTTGGGAATTGCACGAGTTTCACGGATTGAGAGCGGGTGATTTTCAACATGTGGCTCTCGCCCTAGCGCCGTGCACTTTCTTTTGAAAGAAGTGCAACAGTTTCACGGATTGAGGGCGGGTCGTTTTCAAAATGTGGCTCTCGACTTGGCGCCGCGCACATTCGTTTTATAAATTTGCGAGAGCTTCACGGATTGATGGTGGGTCGCTTGCAAAATGTGGCTCTCGCCCTAGCGCGGCGCACATTCGTTTAAAAACATTGCAAGAGTTTCACTGATTGAGCGCGGGTGGTTTTCAACATGTGGCTCGCGCTTTGGCGCGGCGCACATTCGTTTGAACATATTGCAAAAGTTCTGCATATTCCAATCATACACGTACCAGAAATAATACTTTTGCAAAAAGAAGGTTCAGGATTATGTGGGTGCAACAATTATGTTGGTTCGCAGTGTGAAGTCCCACGAATGCCGTTCCGGCACGATTCAGGATCGTCAAGATGCAAGAGTCAGGTTGATCCGTGGCGTTGGAACCCTGAGAATAATGTTTTGGCATGCCTCAGGGCCTTTAAACGGCTGTTTTCCAACGAGTCAATTTCCTCAATGGAGATGAACCGTTGTAGGAGCTTATGAACGAGGAGCTTGGAGGGTGGGTTTATTCCAACATCGTTGATGACTCCTGGATTTACAGTGGTCCTCCGTCTCCTCCTCCTCCTCCTCCTCCTCCTCTTCCTCCTCCTCCTCCCTCCCTCCCTCCTCCTCCTCATCCTTATCCACCTCCTCCTCCACCTCCTCCTCCTCCTCCTTCCTCCTCCCCCACTCCCCTTCTCCTCCTCCTCCTCCTCCTCCTCCTCCTCCTCATCATCATCATCCTCCTCCTCCTCCTGCCCCCCGTCGAATTGAGCCTGGGGACGCCTGGATGGTGGTGAAAAGTGGCAGGCGCTCGCAGAGACGGTTCTTCTGCATGACTGGCCAGATCTCCTGCGACGTGAGTGTTCCCTGCAACTTCTGCCCGCCCAAAAGCTCCTTCTCGACGTCCTGCCGCGATGAGAAGAAGGGAGGCTCGGGTAGGACGAGGAGGAGGAGCAGGAGGAAGACTGAGGAGGAAGGTGAGGCAGGCGAGAGATGGACTGAGGGAGGCGAGGGATGAGGGGGATGAGGAGGAGGAGAGGAAGGGGGAGCAGACGGAGAGGAGAAGAGAGGAAAGGGAGGAGGACAAGAAGGGAGGGAAAAAGGGAAGATGAGCCAGTGTAAGGGCGAGAAGCAGGAAGAGATGGAAGGAAGAAGGCGTGCAAGAATGACCACATTTGCGCAGAAAATGACAGTTGGGGAAGGGATGGTGGGAGAGTGGGAGTAAGAGAGAGGGGAGGGAGGGAGGGAACGGAGCGAAGGGAAGCAGGAAAGGCACCAACGGGAGGGGACGATGTCCTCCCAAGACTTTTTGCCAGCTGCCTTCACAAACGCCTCAGCACACTTGCGGTTACGCCCCCCGAAGCAGGTGGTGATGAGGTCGGCCACACCGCAGCTCTCCAGGAAGGTGCTGTCCTTCACGCCTGGGTGGAAGTGGCGGATGAAGGCGGTCATCTCCTCCAAACCGATGCGGATAATCGCCGCCTTGGTGTTCCCGCCATAGCTGAGCCCGTCGCAGAAGCCCGCACCGAGGGCCACCACGTTCTTGAGCGCCCCACACAGCTCCACGCCGGCGATGTCGTCCACGGCGCGCACACGGAACGTAGGGCAGTCGAAGAGCTTGGTCAACGTCACCTGGTCGTTCACGTCGGCGTCGCTGCCAAGCGTGGCCTCGCAGAACTGGCCCTCCGCGACCTCGTTGGCCACGTTCGCGCCCATCAGCACGGAAACATTGTGCCCGAGCAGCTTCCGCAGCACGTCTGAGCACAGACCCAGCTTGCCGCCCTCGAGCTCGATGCCGCCCTTGATGAGGCTTACAGACATGGCTCCATCCTTCACCTTACCGATGCTCTGCACCGTCCTGGGTACGAACTGGTGCGGCAACACCCAAACAAGGATGTCCGCCTCGCCACAGGCCTTCTTCACATCTGGCTCTGCGCGAATGTTGCAAGGCAGCGTGATTCCTGGCAGGTACTTGACGTTCTCCTTGCTCTCGTTGAACACTTCTGACAGCTTGCGCTTGATGCCGCGGTGCTCCACCTGCTCCTCGAACATCCACATCGTCACGTCCGTCTCGAAGTCGTCGTGCCGGGCCGTGTTGGATGCGATGATCTTCGCGATGGCGCAGCCCCAATTGCCGCTTCCAACGACAGTGACCTTCTTTGGCTGGTGCGTCGCCATCCCTGGCGTGAGGTCCGTGATCGATTTCGCTGGCTTGCCCTCGAAGGCGATCTGGTAGATTGAAGTGAGCAGTGGAAGCCTCTTGTCAAGCTTATGCTGCAACATGACCTGGGCGACGGAAGCATTCTCTGATACGTGACACCCACTCTTCACGCGCAACTGCTAGAGTGCCCTGCATAGATGCAAACTGAACAAAAAACAACTACCCGCGCACTCGTTTTTCAAAAATCAGCGAAAAATCTTTTTGCAAAGAATGAGACGAAGTGCACACGCGCGCGTCGTCGCGCGCATGCCGAAATTATTCAACAACCGTTTTGTTTGTAAAGGTTGCAAAACCGAATGTCCAAAACAATAGAAACACTGGGTTTCGCAACACGGATTTTCAAAAAAAAGTTTGCGCGCGAACGCTCTTGCCAATTAGAAAATCTGGCAGCAAAACAATACGTGTCCCATCATTTTCAGACACTGCTACCAAACGGGCTTCGCGCGCGAGCACGTCGAAGTCGTTCGAACGTCCTTGCGCACGTGCCGTCGCGAGAATCCTTTGCAACAAAAGGGACGAAAAGTGCGCGCGCGTCGTCGAGCGCGCATGCCGGAATCTGTCACATTCGGTTGAGCAGCGGTATCAAAAAGCCGAGTGCCCAAACAAACCTGTAAAATAACAGGAGGTTTGACAACATCGGTTTTCAAAATAACGTGCGTTCGCGTTCTTGCGAATTCTTAGGGAAACCATTTTTTTGTTCAGAATGTCCACGGAAGTCTGCCAGGCGGGCCTCTGGCGCTGCATGCCGAAATCATTCGCACGCCCTTGCACTCGCGCTGGGAGGAGGGCGCGATCCGTGTCAAATTCGCCGGCCCAACGGGCCAGATCGGGGACCTGCTGACCCGGGTCAATCCAGACCCGGGTCAGTCAGGCCTTGCAGAGTCCTGCAAGATCCTGCAAAATCCTGCACCCAAACCCGGGTCAATGCGAAGGATCCTGCAGGATCCGGCAGGATCCTGCACCCAAACCCGGGTCAATGCGACCCTGGCCCTGCAGGATCCTGCAAGGTCGGGGCGCTCTGGCTGACCCCCGTTTGCACTGACCCCCGTCTCGAGGCTCCCGACCAGAGGCGTGCTAAGATTTCCGGCAACTGGTTAACAATATTTCTAGTTCGCGCGCGCGGGGCGGCCCCTGGGGGTCCCCAGACGAGAAGTACCCCGGCAAGGTCCCGGGCGGTCCGACTCAGAGATGGTTTTCCTCCTGGGCGCCGCCCTCGAGGCCCTCCAGAGAGCCCCAGAAAGGGCCGCGAGGCCGCCAAGAGCCCCCCAAAGATGGTTCAAGAGTGCTCCGAGATGTCACACGCTCGCTTCAAGACGCCCAAGATGGCTCCCAGACGCTCCAACAGGCCCCCAAGAGGCGCCCCAAGAGGACCTCAAGAGGCAAGAATCGTCCCATCCCTTGCGCAAAACGTATATTTTTAAAAATTGCGCTACTTGAGCTTTCACAGCGTCAAAAGCGGCCCAAGAGGCCCCCAAGATCGCCCCAAGACGGCCCAAGACGGCCCAAGAGGCCCCCAGGAGGGCCCCCAAAACCGCCCCAGTGTGCCCCACGACGAGTCAAGAGGCTTCCAAGACAGCCCAAAAGGCCCCCGAGACGGCTCCAAAAGGGGGTCCAGACGGGAGACCCGCACGGATATTTCGAGCCCTCGGCCCGGAGACGTCTGCAGGAGCGCCCGGGCTCCCAAGAGGCCCCCAAGAAGCCGTAAGATGCCCCCACGAAACCCTCAGGATGCCCCCAAGAGGCCCCCAAGCGGCCCCAGGCGGCCCCCCAAATGCCCCCCCAAGCACGCAAGCAAGCGCCAGCGATGCTACAATGTGGGCCGGCGGAATGAGCGAAGCGATCCGCCGCCCCACCAGGTACGGCGTGCGAGACGCCCACGCAAGATCTCCAAGAACTGAACCACCTGCCCACGCACGCCTCGCACCCCTGCCCTGCCTCAGAGCTCCTCCTGGGGTCCTCCCCGCGGCCCGGTCATTCCGCCGGCCCGGGGGCCCTGGCTGCGGAACGGACGCTTTTTGGACACCACTTCCGTCCCAAACTCCTCGTCTCTTTTTCACGTGCTACGCTTCTGGGCGCCGCCGCGTCCTATCAGAGACCTTTCCTGGAGCCCACCAGGCCGGCTTTTGGAGCCTCCTGGGGCCCTCCTGGGTTGCTCTTCTTCGTCTTTCAAGCCACTTTCGGCCGTTCCAGATGCCTTCCCACCTCTCCTCCAGATGCCTTCCCACCTTCAAACAAGCAATAAACATCGTAAAATACATGGGATTATGACGATTGTGGACTTCTCGGGGTTTTCCTTGCGCCTCTCTCGGGGTTCCCGTGCACCTCTGCGGGTTCTTGCGACCATCTTGGAAGCTGCGGATGCTCCATCTGGCCGTCCTGACAGACTCTCGGACCCATCGAAAGACGTCTGGCCGCATTTGTGGCGACCTCTTGAGCCGTCTTGGTCGCGCCCAAGGAATCCCTGGAGAGTTTCTTGAAGCCCCAAAACTAACTCGGACCGCTTTCCAGAAACGTGCGCGGCAACCTGGAATAGATTCCCCCGTCTGCGGGCCCAACAATGGCTCATGTGTACTTATTTCTGCGTTTGCGCATGCCGCCACAATGCCGCCCCCAAAATTCGACACGCGTGGTGCAATGTCATGCCGCCTTCAAAGCCTCTTGCCGCCCTCGTTGCGCCGCCCTCCAAACTGTTTTAGACCCATCGACACCCCCGCAGAGAAACTCCGGGTTCCAAAAAAAATGGGGCAGCAGCGTCTGCCCCCTCATGGGCGTTCAATTGAATAGTACCATGCGGGCCATTTTCGCGCGTCGGGCGTTCGCGCATGTCGAAATCTGTCTAAAACGCTCATCACGACGCGAAGACGCTATCATCGTCGCCCGCGCGATCAGCATCTGCGCCCGCAGTGGCCGCGCCGTCGTTCTCATCAACATCGCCACCAACATCGTTACTACCATCATCGTGTCTACAGTCGTCGACGTTGCCATACTACGGCACCTGTCCAACCCGCCGACTCCACTGAAGTGCCCGTTGGGATGTGCCCAGCGGTCAGCGCAACCGCGGCCGCGTCGGTCGCGCCAAAGTGGTTGGCCGTTGCACGCGCGTGCTTGGGTTGGCGCGGCCGCAGAAAAGCACCAGCCAACGCCAAGCACACTTGCGTTCGCCTCCGCATGGGCGTTGCATGCCAAGTTGCGAGTAGGTGGGTGGGATGTTTGCAAGAGCATGGGAGGTGGTCAAACGCGGCGCAATGCACTCAAATGCGCAGCATGGATTGCACAACGTAGATTGCACAACGTAGGTCCCACCACATAGATTGAACAACGTATAATATCGTTTCTACATGGAAAATGCATGAACGCCCCCCACCCGGGATGATCGGTTCCCTTTTTCGTATTGCGGTTTACATATGATTATATCGTCCATCCAAAATATGAACCCATACCATCCCAGCGCAGCCAACTTCCGCCCACCCCGCCATCCTCTACAACAAGTTATATGCGCGCGCATTCGTTGATCACACATGACAAATTTCCCAGAATCCCTTGCAACAGAAACAACACGAAGTGCACAAACGCGCGTCATCGCGCGCGCGCGCCAAAAGCTTTCGAGACATTTCTTTTTCGTCAGTGTTTCAAGACCGACTGCCCCACAAACATGAAATCACAAATGGTTTCGCAACACGCATCTACCCAACAAAAAGGGATTGCGCGCTTCTACAAACCATTAAGAAAAAGCCAACGGTCTTACAACATGTTCATACGCGCTACCCAACAGGCTTCGCGCGCGCGCCTGTCGAAGTCGTTCGAAGGCCTTTGCGCGCGTGCTGGGCTGGCACGATCCGCGACAAAGAATACCATGCGGGCTTCTCTCGCGCGTCCGCCGCGCGCACATGTCGAACTCTGTCCAAAACCTTCACCACCGACGCGCAGACGCCGTCATCGTCGCCGGCGTTATCAGCATCGGCGCCGTCACTAGCCGCCCCGTCGTCGCTGTCAGCATCGTCGCCAGCATCGCTACGATCATTACCGTGGTCGGCATTGCCATGATACCGCGCCCGCCCAAGTCGCCAACTCGCACTGAGGTGCCCGCTGGGATATGCCCAACAGTCAACGCCACCGCGGCCGCGTCGGTCGCGCCAAGCTGGCTGGAGTTGCGCGCGCGAGCATGCGCGCGTCAGTGCGGTCGCAGAAATGCACAAGCCAACACCAAACACTCATCGCAATCGCTTCCGCATGGGTATCGCAAACCGAATTGCGGGTGGGCGGGTGGGATGATTGCGCGAGCAGTGGAAACGACAATTTCAAGTTCGGCAAGGTGAATTGCAAACAATAGGTCGCACCATATAAACTGCACCACGTAGCTTGCACATCATAGATCGCACACATAAATTGGTTCACCTAGACCCAACCTGTTGTGCATCAAGCAGGTTGCGCAACATAGATCGGACACCATAGGTTACACAGCACACATGACACCACATAGTTCGCACCACATACATTCTCCCTTCTACAAAAAGGATAGACTCTACCCCCCCGGCGTTATCGCCCCCCTTTTCGGGTATGTAAATCATATATGATTATGACCACATGTCCATCCTACATGTAAATTTACACTATCCCAGGGGGGGCGGGATCGGTCCCCCTGCGGTTCCCTTGAAAAACACCGTACGCGGGAACAACAAATGGGACGAAGTGCGCACGCGCGCGTCGTCGCGCGCGCATGCCAAAATCCTTCAAACAGCTTCGGTGTCGGAAGGATTTCGCAATGGAGTTCCCAAACAACATACAAAAACAAAGGGTTTCGCAACACTGTTTTGCTAAAGAAGCTTACGCGCGACCTCTTGCGAAATCTTAAGGAAAGCATAAGTTTTTCAACATTTTCACACAATGTTACCAAACGGGCTTCGCGCGCGCGCATGTCGAAATCTGTCGAACGCCCTAGCGCGTGTGCCGTCGCGAGAATCCTCTGCAACAAATGTGACGAAATGCAGACTCGCGCGTCGTCGCGCGCGTATGCCGAAATCCTTCAAAACCCATCGGTGGCGCAAGGATTTCAAAATCGTGTGTCCAAAAAACACAGGGTTTCGCAACACGGATTTTCAACAATTTCCGTCGTCGTTGTCGCCGTGGTCGTCGTTTCCCCTTCCCTCGACGTCGTCGTCCGTCGTCGGCGTCTCGTCGTCGACCCTCCTATTTCGTCGCCGTCGTCGTCGTCGTCGTCTTCCCTCCTCCCTCGTCGTTGTCGTCGGCGTCGCCGTCCTCCCTCCTTCTTCGTCGATCGCGTCGTCGCCGTCCTCCCTCCTCCCTCGTCGTTGTCGTCGTTGTCGCCGTCGTCGTCCTCCATCCTCCCTCGTCGTCGTCGTCGTCGTCTTCGTTGGCGGCGTCGTTGTCGTCGTCGTCGTTGTCTTCGTCGTCGTCGGCGTCGGCGTCGTCGTCGTCGGCGTCGTCGTCGTCGTCGGCGTTGTCATCGTCGTCGTCGTCGGTGTCGTCGTCGTCGTCGGTGTCGTCGTCGCTGTTGTCGTCGTCGAAGTCGTTGGAGACGTCGTCGGTGTCGTCGTAGTCGGTGTCGGCGGCGCCGTCGTCGTCGTCGTCGTTGTCGCTGTCGGCGTCGGCGTCGTGGCCAAGTGCCATGTGGTACCTACCGCCACGGTCTTGTCTTAAAAGGTCTTGCGACCAAGTTGCGGGTGGGAGGGTGGGATGTTTGCACGAGCAGTGGAGAGGACAGCTTCAAGGCGGTCAAAGTGAATTGCACCACATAGCTTGCACCGCATTTAGCGCACCAGATAGATGCACCACCTATATTGTTCCCTGTCGACCACACCGCAAATATTGCTAGAAACATACTTTCTGGAGCCCATAGTGGCTATATATATATATATGTATATATATACATATGTACACACATGTTGTCGGCATGATTTCGGTATTATCCAGTTGCCCATGACCGGCCAGATCTCCTGCGCAGTAAGGGTGCCCTGGAGCTTCTGCCCTCCCAACAGCTCCTTCTCGATGTCTTGCCACGTTTTCGCGCCTTGCGCCTTCACAAAAGCTTCAGCACACTTACGGTTGCGCCCTCCGAAGCAGGTGGTGATGAGGTCGGCCACACCGCAACTCTCCAGGAAGGTGCTGTCCTTCACGCCTGGGTGGAAGTGGCGGATGAAGGCGGTCATCTCCTCCAAGCCGATGCGAATAATCGCCGCCTTGGTGTTCCCGCCGTAGCTGAGCCCGTCGCAGAAGCCCGCACCGAGGGCCACCACGTTCTTGAGCGCCCCACAGAGCTCCACGCCGGCGATGTCGTCCACGGCGCGCACACGGAATGTGGGACAGTCGAACAGCTTGGTCAACGTCACCTGGTCGCTCATCTCGGCATCGCTGCCAAGGGTGGCCTCGCAGAACTGGCCCTCCGCGACCTCGTTGGCCACGTTCGCGCCCATCAGCACAGACACCTTGTGCCCGAGCAGCTTCCGCAGCACGTCCGAGCACAGACCCAGCTTGCCGCCCTCAAGCTCGATGCCTCCCTTGATGAGGCTTACAGACATGGCGCCCTCCTTTACCTTCAGAGGAGTAAGCAGACTGCATGAATATAAAAACTGTGGGAGGTCCCCGCGGATTTGCTGGATCGACGCTGCACCCCCCCCCTGGCGCGCGGAGAGCACCAAGGGCGGCGCCCGAAGCGCTCACGGGAGGGCCCAGCGCAGACCTTATAAATCAGCGCGAGCCTCCGCAATTCGTAAAGTTCTGATGTTTGTGTTTCCTCAAACCTTGCCAATGGTCTGTACCGTCTTGGGGACGAACTGGTGCGGCAACACCCAGACGAGGATGTCCGCCTCGCAGCAAGCCTTCTTCACGTCTGGCTCGGCGCAGATGTTGGACGGCAGCGTAATGCCGGGCAGGTACTTGACATTCACCTTGCTTTCGTTAAACACCTCTGACAGCTTGCGCTTGATGCCGCGGTGCTCCACTTGCTCTTCGAACATCCACATGGTCACATCGCTGTGGAAATCATCGTGGCGCGCCGTGTTAGAGGCGATGATCTTCGCGATAGCGCAGCCCCAGTTGCCACTTCCGACGACAGTTACCTTCTTCGGAGTGGCCATCGGCATGGCGGGGAGTGCGAAGAGTACTAGCTGCCAGAGGCAGGGTGCCCAGAGTTTTGGTAGCAAAAGCGTGAGCCAAAAGAACTGCAGTCCAGCCGATGCGGCTGCCAGTGGTGGCGCTGCTACTTATTATGCCACTGCCTCGCATTGCTGCCAATGATATTACGATCAGCTTCCTGTACGTTTCCTCCTCCTCCTCCTCCTCCATCTCCATCTCCTCCTCCTCCTCATCATCATCCTTCTCCTCCTCATCCGCCTGTTTAACATCATCATCACTACCATCATCACCGTCGAATCATCATCATCATCATCATCATCATCATCATCATCATCAGCATCATCATCATCATCATCATCATCATCATCATCAGCATCATCATCATCATCATCATCATCATCATCAGCATCATCATCATCATCATCATCATCAACACCACAATCACAATCGCCATCACCAGTATTATCATTATCATCATCATAAACATTTCCAAATCATCACCACCAACATCAGCATCGTCATCGTCGTCGTCATCGTCATCACTGTCAGCACCGTCATCGTCATCATCGTCATCGTCAATATCATCATCAGCAGCATCGTCGTCATCAGCATCACCAAATAAGCATCGTTATCGTCAGTACCATCTTGATCTGCACAATGAGTAGCAGCATAATCATCCTCATCAACATCATCATCATCATCATCATCATCATCGTCTGCATCATCAACAGCAACATCATCATCAGCATCGGCATCATCATCCACCTCGTCATCAATGACATCAATATCAGCAACAGCATCATTGCCGGCATGGACAGCGTCATCAACAGTTGCATCGCCAGCATCATCAGCGCAATCATCATCACCATCACCATCACCAACATCATCACCAAACCATCATCATGATCATGAGTAACATCATCGTCATCAGCATCAGCGTCATACGCATCATCAGCATCATCATCATCATCGCCATCATCATCGATATCATCATCAGCAGCAGCATCATCATCATTGCCATCATACGCATCACCCGAACCAGCGTCATACGCATCGTCATCATCACCATCACCATCATCAGTATCGTCATCATCATCCTCATCATAACCCTCATCATCATCATTGTCAGTATCATCACCATCGTACGCAGCATCATCAGCACCATCAGCATCAACATCGTGAGCATCATCATCACCACCATCGACATCGTCATCCTCATCAATAGCATCAGGATCGGCATTATCATCAGAATCCTCATTATCAGCATCATCATCATCAACTGCATCATGACCAGTAGCATCATCAGCATCATAAGCATCCTTACCATCGAAAACATCATCATCAGTATCCACATCATCATCGAACACATCATCATCAGCATCCACATCATCATCATCATCGAAATCATCACCCTCCTCCTCCTCCTCCTCCTCATCATCATCATCATCGCCATCATCATCACAAGCCTCAATCTAAGCATCAGCATCAGCATCAGTATCATCAATATCGTAATCCTCATCATCATCGATATCATCATCATAATCATCATGCACAACATCATCATCACCATACTCGTCATCAACATAATCCTACCCATCAACATCATCAACATCAACATCGTCATCAGCATCATCACCGTCAGCCTTATGAGCATCGCCATCACCATCATCCCCAGCGTCATCATCGTCACTAGCATCAGCATGAGCCTCGCCAATGTCGTCACCATCAGAATCAGTAGCAGCAGCATCAGCATCATCAACAACAGCACTATCATCATCCTCATCATCAGTATGGTCATCTCCACCATCATCATCATCAGCAGCAGCATTGTCATCATCAAATTCATCAACATCAACATTGTCAGCCACATTCTCGTCACCGGCATGATCATAATCATCATGCTCATCATCCATGTCATCACCAGCATCATCCTCATCATCGTAAGCATCATCATCATCAGTATCAGCAGCACAATCATCATTATCATCTTATCGTCATCCATTGTGATCACCATCATCGTCATCATCACCGTCGCCATCATCATAAGCATCATCAATTTCATCATACGCATAATCATCATCATGAGCGTCAGCATTATCATCATGACCATCATCATCAACAGCATAATCATCATAAGAAATAATAGCATCGACATCATGGCCACGATCGTCATCATCGTAAGTATCGCCATCATCATCAATATCATCACAATCATTTTCAGCATCACCATTAAACAAACAACAGCATCACTATCAGCATCATCATCCTCAACATAAGCATAATCAGCATCATCGCCATTATCAGCATCATCATCAGAAGCGTCATCATCATCATCATGGTCATCACCATCATCACCATCATGCGCATCAGTATCATCATAATCATCAGTGGCACCATCATCATCCTCAGCATAAGCAATCGCCATAAGCATTACCATCATCATACACATTATCAACATCGCCATCATCATCAGCATCATCATCATCATTATCATCTTCATCATAATCCTCATCATCAGCATCATCGCAATCGTCGTCAGCATAAGCATCATCATCATAATCTGCATCATCACCAGCAGCAGGATCAGCCCCATTATCATCATTAGCGTGTGTCAGAATCATGAACATGGGCATCCTCATCCTCATCCTCATCGTCCTCCTCCTCATCCTCCCCCTGATCCTCATCTCCATCCTCATTCTTTCCGCATCGTCATCCTCGTCCTCATCCTCCTCATCATCATCATCCTTCTCCGCATCCGCAGATCCTGTTCCCTCCTCCCGACGTCGGTGACGCCCTCCTGCTCCTCCCTAACTGGCTTGTATCCCTGCTTCTCCTCCTCCGCTTCCTCCTTCATGGGAGTCGCCAGTGCAGGGCAGGCGGCTGCGACAGGACCCCCCCGGGGGGGAAGGGATAATAAGGGACTGCAGAGCAGAGCAGCCAAAAGGACGGGAGCGTCCGCGATAGCCTCAGCCTCAGCCTCCTCCTCCTCCTCCTCATCTTCTCCCTCCTCCTCCTCCTCCTCCTCCTCCTCCTCCTCCTCCTCCTCGGAACCTCATGCCTCTGCTCCCATTTATCCCATGCTCGGTATTATCTTCTTCTTCCCCCTTCTTTCTCTCCTCCCGTCTCGAATGCGCCCTCCCGAAACCAAGAATGGAGCTTGGCAAAACCCGAGGCGCGACGCACTCGCATTTTGGAAGCCAAGAGAGGAGGGACGTCGAGGAGGGCGACGTGATGAGAGGTGGGGCGCGACAATGATCGCGACCATGGTCGGCAACAGTGTTACCGATACGGGGGGGGTGAGGAACTGAGACCACGAATCCTGCTCGGCCTAGCCTGGCCAGGCGCACCGGCAACAAACACACACACACACTGTTGGCGTCGCGGCCCTGCGCACGGCGACAGGGCGCAGAAGGCCGGACAACAGCAAATCGCGCGCGCGCGTCTAAGCCCGCCCGAGCAGTCAGAAGCACACACACACACACACGCTCGGTGGACCCCGCTCCCTTACCCACCGAACACCCGCTGGGGAGGGGGGGGGTAGCAGGGCCTCGGCCGAGCGGTGCTGGAAGGGAAGGCAGGACGACCCCGAGGCCCCCCGGCTGGGGCTCTGGGATGGCGCGCAAGGCCAGGGCATCTGAGGGCCAAGGGTCTTGCGGTGCACCTACATCCATAGAGGAAGAAATAGAAGAGACATAAACATAAACTTTTGGAGGTCCGCGCGGATTTCTAGGATCCGAGCTGGACCCCCCTCCGTGGCGCGCGGAGCGCGCCAGGGCGGGAGACGCCGCCAGGGGGGCCCAGCGCGGATCCACGAAACCTGCGTGGAGCGCCAACAAGTTGATGTTTCTGGCGCGTTTCTTCTTCAACTCTGGGGCCCCCACGCCCCCCCCCCGTGCCCTCAGTGCGCTCGACGAGGCCGTGCGCGATCCCGCCGCCGCGCATGCTATCTGGCGCGCTGAACACCCACAAGTGTGCACCGCCAGCCCCACTAGGTTGGACGGGTTGACGGCCTGCCCCCACCAGGCAGCTTGTCATTCCTCTGGCAACCTCCTCGGGTGCTCGTCAACAACGGGGGGGCAACAGCCCAAGAGCCGAAGTCGCCGTTGGTAGTTGTTGCGGCCCTGGCTCGCCTACGCAGGCGGCCAAGTTACGTGCTTGCATTTCGGGTCGAAGTCCAGCCGTGGCGACGAGGTCCGCACGGGCTCAGGTGCGAGACGTCCAGGAAAGGCGAGCTGGTATGCCAGTTTTGCTCCTGCCGCTCGGACCGCAAACATCTGCGGTACGGGGTCGTTCCAGGGCACAGGAACATTTCCCTGCGATCCTCGATCCCCCATCGTTAGTTGCGCCCCTAGAAGCCTCCTAGATGAAGTCGGAGCAGATTGGGTCGGAGGATCGCGCCGCATCGCCGATACATCGGCGATGCATCGGCGATGCGTCGGTGATGCACCGGCGATGCATCGTCGACGCCGAAGACGCATCGGCAACGTCGACGTGGGGAACATCGGGCTCCACATCGAGCCGCATCGCCGATGCATCGGACGCGATCCTCCTGCCCCACCTGCTCCGACCCCACCTAGAAATAGAACTAGAAAAAACTGCACAATCAGAAACTTTCGACTCTTGGCGCTCGGCGCGGACTTCTCGGGTCTGCGCCGGACCTCCCTCCCTGGCGCGCGCAGCGCCCCAGGGGCGGAGCCAGAGGCGCCGCTGGGGAGGGGCCCAGCGCGGATCCAAGAAATCCGCGCGGAGCGCCGAAAGTTGGTCGGTCTTCTTCTTCTTCTTCTTCGATCGATGGTCTTCTTCTTCGATCGATGGTTTTCTTCTTCCTCTTCGATCGAAGTTGATGTCCATGGCGCCTCCTTCCTCGATCGATGGCCTGGAGCCCCCCGCTGCCGCCCGCCCGACCTCCGACGGCGGGTGCGGGGCGCGCCTGGGCCTGTGGGGCGGTCGGGGCCGGCGCCGCTGCCTGCGGCCGCGCCAGCGGTGCGGGCGCCGCGGGGGCCGGGGCAGCGGCGCAGCCTCCAGGGAGGCGCTGGCGGCAGAGGGCGTCCCAGACCCGCTCGTGGGCGTCGTCGTCGTGCGCGTCTGCGTCTGCGTCTGCGTCGCCGTCGTCGTCTGCGCAGTCGTGGTGGACGTCGCGGCCGTCGTCGCTGCCGCCGTGCTCTTCTGCCTCCTCAGTCGTTGGTTGGGTCGTGCTTGAGGCATCCTCGCATGGCGAAGCCTGCGCAGGAGGAAGGGCAGATTCCACCGCGAGCCCAGATCAGGAGAAGCAGGGGGAAGCACCCACACCGCCAACACAGGCAAGGGGGAGAAAGGTGGAGAGGGGGGGATGAAGCGGAGGGAGCAAGGAGGGAGCAGGAAGGGAGTATTTTTTGACCTCTACGGATCCACCGCATAGTGCAACCAGCTGGCAGGGCGGGACCTACAAGCCGTGGGAAAGAGGCAAACAACTGTGCCAAAGTTAGGCACCGTCGCCTAAGACCTCTACCCGTCAGCGCCATAGAGACAGCTCGGGGCCGAGGCCACGCACAAGTGCCCAAGCACAACGTGCACCTGCCTCAACATCTCTAAGAGAGGGGGCAGGCACACGTGACCAAGGGGACCCCGAACTGCAAGCGCAAAAAGAGGCCAGCTGCAGGGAGACTGCAACTGGACGCTGTCTCGAGCCGACTGCCTTCGACTGTGCAAGAGGGACAGCAGGCGAGACAGCGCCCTCCCACAAGGGCCACGATGGCACCGAGACGAGGAGGGCATAGGCCGTGGGACGCGCAACGCACACACGCGCGAGAAGCGCACCCCACGCCAAAAAAGAGGATGTTGGGGCCCTGAACCTACGCTCAAAGCCACAGCAACATCGGCCGAGCCACGGTCAGGATGGAGTCATCCCCGTGCTCGGACCCAGAAGAGGTGCACTCAATATGTGCGCGCACCTTCCCCCAGAGATGGGGTGCCTGACGCACGTGCACGACTGCGCCAACGACGAGAGAGAAAAACCTGGCAAAGAAAGCTCGACCACACACAAAAGGACGACGAGCCCACAGCCCCTGGTGCAGCCAGCGCCAGGACGACCGACGGACTCGCCCCAGATGTGGGGTAACGCACGGATGCCTGCCAAAAGGGTCAGTCGCATCGGGCCGTGCAGAAGAGAGAGATGGCGTACCCTCGCCACAGGGAAAAATCGACCACCCACAAAAGGACGACGAGCCCGAAGTCCCAGGTGCAGCCAGCGCCAGGACGACAAACGAACTCGCCCCAGATGTGGGGTTAAGCACGGATGCCTGCCAAAGGGGTCAGTCGCATCGGGCCGTGCAACAAAACGAAGACGAATAGGCGGCCCTGCGCCACAGAGAATCAATCCGAGCTGTCCGACTCGTCCTGGCGGCGTCTCGCCAGGAAGGAAGGCGTGAGAAGTGGCCCCTGAGAAGGAGGCTGCTGAGCTGCACCTTCTTCGGCCACTAGCCTACTCCGCACGCATATGGGGCCCTCTCGATGGGAGGAGCTAGCTGCAGCAGACAGATCGTCCTTGCCATCGCAAGGACGTTGCACGCACTCCGCTTCCCCCCCGTCAGTCACACCCACCGAGTCCCCACCCACACCACACGGTCTGTCTACGCCCTCAAAGACATATGAGTCAAAACAGGCCATACAGTTTTCTAGGTCGACTGTGACCCGTTCTTTCCGCTTGAAGTAGTGAGGGTGGTCACCGCGAAGCAGATATTGCCAACCATATCTAGCAGCACGCGACGGCGGGGGAGCACATTTTCCGCCAAGGCCTCTAACTGAGGCCTCTGAGGAGTAGCACTTGCATCTTAGGCAGATGAACAAGACTGAGCCGCCGGAGCAATTGAAACCCACCGTGCGGTGATCCAACGCTTGCTGCTTGGCCGCATGCAATTTGGAAAAAGCCACACATCGCCCTGGAGGCGGGCAACTCCTTGCCCCTCTTCGACCCAGAAGACAGACAGCACACCTCCAAATGCCGCTCCATCGCTCCCAATGGTGAGGCACGGGGGGGGGCTCAAAGAGGGAGCGAGCTCAGGTGGGGTGTACTGCACATCGAGGGACAACTTCGGCCAGAGCGGCAGAAGGCTGGCAGCAAGAATGCAATAAGCACGGGCGGCATCCACCAGACGAGTCACTTCCTCCATCTCCTCAGGGGCAGACGGGTGGAGCAAAAGGCCATGCTTGGCCCCAATGTCAGCATCAGAGTTCCCTTTGCGGAGAAACCTCTCGCGACCAGACAGGCCCTCCTCTTCCAGACTGAGGTGAGCCTTGACCTTCACAGTGTCTTCTACAAGCTGGCCTTCAAAGGAGTTGGCCTGAAGGATCATGCCCGAATAGGTGCGCTTCCCCGAGTATCTTTCCGTCTCGGGGAGCCCACTTTGATGCACAACATTGGCACAATCAGAGTAGAGGACCGAAGGAAAAATCATAAATTGGGCAACCACACACCTAGCTGAGAATTCGGCGGCTTGTGGGGTCTGCGGGTAGTGGGCCCAGACAGGGCCACGAGCCTCTCCAAGGCACTCCCCATCGTCAGAATTCATTGAGACAGCCCAAGAGGCCCTCGAGAGCTCTCTAATGGGGTGGCGCTGGCAGGACCCGTCAATGAAGAGGTGACCCCACATTTCTCCATTGGCGGGGGCCCTGGGGCCCTCAGGGCTGGTGAGCTCTTTGCAGTGCCAAATGTACTGAAGGGAGTTCGTACCCTCTTGAGCTGGCCTAGGGAGCCAGTCGGCGGGGTGGGCGAAAGCCCCTCGAGTGTAAAGGCATATATCCTCATTGTTGGCCTCAGTTGACAGGGACGCTAGGGCGTCGGCAGCAACAGAGGCGGGGACCAACTGAGCTCTCAACTCAGAGACCTCCTCGTCTAGGCAGCTCCACAGCAGGAAGGGAGTAGGAAGGAATGGGGGGAAAGGAGGAGATATCGGACCAGGCCTGGCATGGGGCCCCCCAACCAGAGTAATTGCAGTGGTGCATGCATCACCTGAAGCATGAGCGTACAAAACCACAAGTCCTAATCAGGTGGACTCGCAGCCGGAATCGTGTCATACGTCATACTCATCAACCCTTCTCGACTGCATATTCACGCAATCTCGTAGAATCCGACTGGGAGATATATACTTGGACCCCGGCAGACACTGAACCAACTCCTCCACCTCCTCCTTCTCCTCCTCCCCATCATCACCACCACCACCACCATCATCATCATCATCACCACCATCATCACCATCATCATCCGCATAATGTTCATCCTCATCACATCATCATCATCATCATCATCATCATCATCATCATCACCACCACATTCAGCATCGCAATCATCACCACCATCACCACCATCAAAAGCAGCAGCGGCAGCATCGTCCTGCTCCTCCTCGACATCCGCCGCCTTTTCCTTCCCCTCGTCATCATCATCATCATCATCATCATCATCATCATCATCATCATCATCATCATCATCATCATCATCACCATCACCATCATCATCACCATCACCATCACCATAAGCATCATCATCACTATCGTCATCAGCAGCAGCATCACCATCATCATCATTATCATGTCATCATCATCCTCCTCCTCCTCATCATCATGATCATCATGACCATCATCATCATCATCAAGCTCATCATCAGCAACATCCTTATAATGACCATTTCCATCTACATCATGTACATCATCGTTATCATCACCACCATGATCATCATCAACAACATCAACATCAACATCGACATCAACATTCGTATCATCAGCAGCAATAACACCATCATCCTGCTCCTCCTCCGCCTCCGCCGCCTCTCCCTCCTCATCATCGTCCTTACTATCAGTTTCAGCACCTTCATGATCATGATCATGTGATGGTTCATCAGCAACCTCACCAGAATCATCATCAATATCACCACCATCATCGTCATCGTCATCATCAATATCACCACCCTCACAATCATCATAATCCGCATCAACATAATCACCATCGTTGACATCATCATCGGACTCAGCAACATGATCATAATCGTCGTCGTCATCATAGTCAGAATCATCACCATTATCACCTTCATCGCTGGAGGCACTGCCAGGGAGGCCCAGCGCCGATCGAAGAAATCCGCAGGGAAATCCAAACGTTTCTGGTTAGGCCGGTTTGCGTTCTTCGAATTACAGCTTCTGAGGCCGAACTGGTACCAACGCTAAATCAACGCCTATCAGCGCTAAACGACGTCAAGTCTGCGCTTTGTCATCCAATATCAGAGGCTAGCGCACGCAAGTGCAGTCTGAAGACGGAATTGGGGCGCTGACGCGCGACCTCACGCAGACAACGTCCGCGCAAATGTCCGCGCAGACGAGCCTGTGTCTGTGTCGCTCAAATGGAGGCGGGCACATTACTCGGAACGGGGCGAATTAAAAAAACATCAGCTCCAACCAAAATCGATCCCGGGACCCCTCCCGGGATCTAAACGCACCAGCTTTCCGAGCCGCGCCCAGCCGCGGCGGCGAGGGGCCCCCCCGACGGCCCACCACCAGTGCCTCAGCTCGCCCTCCTCTGCGCCACTGGGCTCGGAATACTTACTTGAACACCAACTCCTGGTCCCCCGCCCCGCCGCCCCTCTGCCCCATCGCCCGACCCCCCAGCCCCGGCCGGCAGCGGAGAAGGGGCAGCTGCCGCACTGTGGGCACCGCTCCAGGACCTGGGGGCCGGCGCTGCACCCACGGCACTCTCTCCTCCGGCCCTTGCCCTCTTTCTGCCCCTCCCTCCCTCCTTCCCTCCCTCCCCTCATCCCCCTCTCCCTTCCCCTCCTCCCCTCCCCCTTGTCCCCCTCCTCCCCGTCCCACTCCTCTCGTCCCCCCCCCCCCCCTGCTCCTCCTCCCTCCCTCTCCTTCTTTCTTTGGCTCGGCCTAAATCATGGATCCAACGGCCGGTTGGTAATGGCACTCGTGATGGCCAGCGCTGCCTGGACAATTTTCGTCCAGAGCGATAGCCTCGGCAGTGAAGGAAGGATCGGCTCTCGAAGAAAAGAGACTCCCAATGTTATCGGAGCGGTCACTGTGTAGGCCTCTTTCTGAACGACAGCCTCGATGCACCATGCTGCCGCCGAACATGCCCCAGACCGCGTGCCAGAGTCTGTGTGAACCAAGAGATGTGTCATCGCAAGGTCCTCGTCCATCGTGTAGTTAGCCACGTAGTCAGCTCGGAGGTTCCATGCTCGTTCTGCTAAGAAATCAGGTCCTCTATGTCACGCGCTGGGCGCCAGCCGGATTGTAACACCTTCAAGATGTTGGAAGAGATGCGCTCGAGCATGGGGGCAATGCGGTGGTCAATAAGCACGTTAAATCCATTGATTACGCCGACCAGAGGCCTGCAACCCGGGATAGAGTCAAACCGCCGTGTCTATTCTTCCCACAACATGCCTGGCACGTTATCGCCGCTTTTGTCAAGCAATTTGTCCAAAGGACTCTCCTCTGCTTTGGGTCGTTGTTGGTCTGGCCGTTGTTAGGTACATCACGGTTTTCTCTGTGATTGTATAAATCCACTGACTCGTCTGATCCCGTGCTGCAAGAGCTTCGCATGCGTCGCCAATCGGCTCCCCCCCTCCATCCTCCCTCCATCCCTCTCTCCCCTCCTCCTCCCCCTCCCCCTCCCCGTCCCGCTCCCCCTCCTCCCCCCTCCCCCTCCAAATCCCTCCCTCCCCGCCCCCCCCCCCTCCTGGGAAACCAAAGAACAGCGACACCACTACCCCTGGCCCTCTCCCAAGAGCGCGTTCAGACCATACTCTCGAGGCGAACCCGGCCTCGGCGACACAGGCGCCGCAGAAGCCCTCCCCAAAAATGCGAAATCGAAGAGGAAGGCCAGCGGCATCGGCACCTGCTCCGCCTCTGACCCCCTGCGCGGAGCCATCGGAGGAGGAGGAGGAGGAGGAGGAGGAGGAGGAGGAGTAGGACGAGAGGGGAAGAAGGAGGGGGAGGGGGTAGAGGAGTGGAGGAAGGACGAGGAAGAGGAGGAAATGGGGGAACTTCCTGGGCTGGGGGGGGGTTCGTCGCCAAGGCCGGATCAGCCTCGATATCCGTGTCGCATTGCGTTCTTCCGACCTGGTCCGAGAGGCGGTCTCCCCCATGTGTGTGAGGGTGGTTCGAAGACAGGATCGGCCCGACAAGGGCCTATCAGTGTCCATCAGTGTCCCTACTAGCGCCTATTGGCGCGCATTGCTACCTGCTAGTGTCGACTGGCTCCTAGTAGCGTCTGTCAGCGACCACTGATCAGCACTTCTGAACGCTAATAGCCAGGGAAGGCTGCAACTCATGCTGAAATCGTGGGGGGACGAAAGGGTAGGACGGCAAAGGGTATGGGTAGATAATCAGCTCACGTATCAGATTAGCTGGTTCTCCTGGCGCCTCCTGGCGCCGGAGGCGGCCATGTATCCAGGAATTGGCCCCTCGGCGGGGCCGACACCGTCTGCATGCAGCAGGTTGCGTACCCCCCCCTTTCCCTATCCCCCCGCTTCCTTATGACCAACGAACAACACACCCATTGCCATAGGAGGGTCCGAGGGAGGAAGACTGGCTATGCGTGTGGGTGCGGGTTGTCGGACCCTGGGGGAGGCCCCCGTTCGAACGGGGACCCCCTTCCGACAGCACGCACCCATAGCCCCCTCCGTCCACCCCCCAAGGGTATGGGTGGCCGTCCTTCGCTCGTCAGAAAATACCTCTCAAGCCTAGCATACCAAACCGACCCCGCCCACCGACACGTAGGCGCGCACGCAGGGGCTGCCGCCCCCGTAGCCCTGCGCCCACTGCCGCACCAGCGCGGCGCAGGTCCCGCTGCTCGGGGTGCTGTCCCAGCCCGCGCCTGCCGGGGCCGGCGGGGGCCCACCGGCCGATGGCGGGGCGGGGGCCTCCTTCGGCTGCCCCGGCGAAAATGGGCGCCCACGCGCAGGGTCCCTCAGACGGAGCCTCCCGATAGATCAAGACAATGGCGCGCCCGACAAAGCCTGCGACCGTGGGTCGGAACGCTCTCGGCCCTTGGTGGTACGCAGAGGGGGGTGGAGGGAGGGGGGAAGGCTTTTTAGAAGCAGGGGTGCTTCTACGAAGTCTTCCCCCCATCCCCACCACCCACCTCTGCGCGCGGCCGACATCCTTCGTCTTCTCCAACTGGATGTTTGAAAGTCCTGGTTTGCGGCCCCCCACCGCGAGTGACCCTAGGAGAGAGTGAGCTTTGGTGCACGACTGCCAGGGCCCGCGGGGAAGCCGAGACAGAGCGCTCAAGCCGGCGGCTTCTCGCCCACGCCGGGCCCAGACCCCCAGCAATGTGATTTAGGTTTCCTTTGCGGCAGCAGAGGGATTATCTATGATCACGGGTGCGGGGCACGAGCAAGCTCAGCCACCACCAGGAAGTCGGCTTCATGCTTCGCACACACAAACAAACAAACAAACAAACAAACAACCTCCTAATCGCCCACTTGTCGGCTTGTGGGTGGGGCAAAGATACTGAAAGTTAGTGATGATCGTATTTATCCTTGCTTCTGAAGTGCAGGTCCTCTCCTAAGCTGGAAATCCGGGCGCATTTCTCAGATCTCGGCCTCCAGGGCCGTTCCTGGGCCCCGAGACCGTCAAACATGGATCCTGGGCGAACGCCTACACCCAGGGAAGGGGTCGGGACCCCTGGGGCCGCGGACTGGAAACGTCGCATCCGAGGATGTATGAGTCCTCGGCCACGCCGATGGCGGCCAGGCACGGCCGCCGTGCCGGGCCAAGGCCAACCTGGGGCCGAGGATGGCGCCGGCCAGGCACGGTGGTGTTGTGGCTGCCTTTCAAAGGGCGCGAGAGCTGATTGCTTATGCTATTCAGCCATTCGCGACCATGCGCATGGCCGTCTCAAGAACCCCCCTGCCCAACCATCTAACGCCACGATTCGCGCCAGCGCCGTCTGGGAGTGGCTGGGGGGACGGGGTTCCCAGAGTGCACCGGCGAAAACCGTGAAAGAGAAAGCGACCAGGGATCAACTGACCCGCTTGCGGAAGCGCTCCATGCAACCCCTGGAGCCAACGTATTATGCTGCCAGAGACGGCTCGGGCCTGTCGGCGACGAACTTTCCGCGAGCACCCGTACGATGTGGCACACTTTTGAATAAACCCACAACCTCCCCTCATTCCCTGTCCCTCTTCCCTTTGCGTCCGTGTTCTCCATTCCTGTTTCCATGTAGTCAAGTCCTCCATGTCGCAAACCCAGGCATGTCGATAGGGCGGGCTGGGCAATTCGCTTAAAACATGCTCACCATGCATGAGCATGAAACGTGAAATTTGTATGACGTTCGATGGTGGGGGCTTTCAAAAAAAACAATGATCGCCTTAGCGCCGCGTATATATGCTTTAAAACTTTGTATCAGGTTCACGGATGGATGACGCCTCTTTGTTTCCTGTGGCTGTTGCCTGAAAACCCCTCACACCCGCCGTAAAAGTGCGCAACAGCTTCACGGATTGAGGGCGCGTAGTTTTTCAACATGCGGCGTCTTCAGAACTCGAAGAAATTCCCCGGATAGAGGGTGAGTGGTTTGCCAAACGTGGTTCTGGCCGTCGCGTTGCGCACAACCGTTTTCGACAACAATTTCACGGATGGAGGAAGCCAGTTTTCAAAATGTTGTTCCCTCCTCAGCGCCTCGCACATTCGTCTTCGCAACCGACTAGCGCTGCGGATGGAGGGCGGCTCCTTTTTCAAAATGGGGTTAATTATCGCTTCAGCGCCGCGGGCAGTCGTATTTCAATGCAACGCTTAGCAGGAGGGAGGGCGGCGACTTGCTCCCTTTCAAAAAGGATGCATCGCCTGAGACTTCATCGAGTGCAGGGGCCCGAAAGTTCAACGCACGTGGCGCTGCGCGGATCCATGGCGGCTCTGCTTCCACACTGGACCTATCGTTTTCGAGGTCCCCCAACCCTACGACTACAAGGGCACACGTCTGCAACAGTTACCCGGGGGGGAGGAAGAGGCGGCCCTTCTTCGGCAGGGGGGAAAAGAAGGACACCTCGCTGAACTGCATGATACGTACATGGTGATTGTGCTTGCGCGTTCTTGATAACGCATCAGCAAAATGAAACAAGCAAGTTCTTTTTGTTACAGCGGGGTCCTCGCCAAAGAGGCAGGCTCAACTGTGCTGGTCTTTTGAAGGCAAGACATAGCCACTTCCTCGGGAACCAACGCTTCGGGACCCCAGGACCCCAGGAGGCAGCGGATACTTCCTTGACCCCAGGGGCCCAAGGATATAACCATGACCATTGCCCCCTGGAGCCCGGTAAGAGGCTGGTCGGTGGGGGAGGCCACATGCCCTCCCCCCACGGCGTCGGACAGAGTTCGCTGGAAACCCACCCACGACTCGGCCCCTCCCCCATCACCACCCTTAGGATGTCAAGCCTACCTCTCCACAGAATGACCCGAACCGGCACTACAGAAAGAGACGTGGAGGGGGATGGAAACGGAGAAGGGGAAGGGGCGATGGCAAGGGAGAAAGTAGCATGGGCAAGAGGAAGGGGGAGGGGTTGAAGGGCGGGAGAGTGGAGACGGAGGAGGAGGAGGAGGAGGGAGGGAGAAGGAGAGTGGAGGGGCAGAGGGGAGGGAGAAGAGAGGGGAACGGCGGAGATGAGGAGGGAGGGGGGCGGGGCACGGTGAGGAGGAGAGGGAGATTAGGGAGTCAACGGCAGCAGCGGGAGCAACAGGAATGGCCAGTACAGCCACGACCTCCCCCGCCCGCCCGCCGTCGCTTAGGTAAATCCGTGCCGTGGCAACGTCGGCGTTGGTTTCCGACACCGCGTGGGGATCGCGCAGCCAGGAACAGGTGCGCAGATTGTTCGATGTGGGCCTGTTCTGGGCAATCGGTACGAGGTGGGGATGTATCCATACAAGTATCCACCGCCTGGGGAAGCGACGACCTGGGACCCCAACGGGCGGTGGCAAAGATACATTTTGACCACAGTCACGATTGGCCCGCCCATATCCATATCCACCAACTGCAGAGGCCCCCGAAAACCAGTCCCCCCAGGCGGTGGTGAATGATAACTCCCCGCCTCGGCATCGGCGGCGCTCTGGGAGCCGTTCTGGGAGCCGCCGCCACGCCATACGCGCGGCGCGAGCCCGCCATGCGCGGTCAACAATGGCAGAGACGTAGCACCCCGCAGTTGCGGATAAGAATGAAGGGGCAGCGAGGACGTCGTCAGTCTGCGAGGCTCTGAAGAAGCCCGCCGCAAGCGAGGGGGCCACAGAGGGCAGCGACGGGGCCACTAAGGCCAGCACCAGGGCCACGAAGGGCAGCGAGGGGGCCACGGAGAACGACAGCGAAGCCACGAAAAGCATGCATATGGGGCCACGACGGGCGCGAACGATCGGGGGCCACGAAGGGCATACATATAACTGGGGCCACAAGGGGCGACAGCGGGGCCACTGAGGGCAACAAAGGGGCCACGAAGGGCAGCGAGAGGGCCACGAAGGGCGACAGCGGGGCTACGAAGGGCATGCGTATGGGGCCACGACGGGCGACTGCGAGCGGGGGCCACGAAGGGCATATAATGCGGGGCCACAATTGGCAGCGACGGGGCCACTGAAGGCAGCAACGGGGCCACGAAGGGCAGCGAGCGAAGGCGACCGCGGAACCAGTACGGGCAGCGAGGGGCATCGAAGGCGGGCGAAGGGCAGCGAACGGCGACTGCAGTCCCTGACGGGCTGGTCGGGCGGGCAGGCCCAGACGGGCGGGTTGAGCGGGCGAATCGTTGAAGCGTAAGTTTTGCTTGAACCGCCAGGCAATATGTAGCGGGAGCGCGATTCCTGAGTGTCGAAGAGCCGCACCTGAATAAATTGTGAAGAAATATCAGGCGGGAGCCGCGATTCGGTGGTAAGTCGCGAGGATGTCCCAAGCGAGAGCGTGATTGTTCAATAAGCTGTAAAGAAGTATCAAGCGGGAGCCGCGACCCGGTGGCAAATTGCAAGGAGGTCCCAAGCGAGAGCGCGATTCTTCAATACATTGTGAGGAAGTATCAGGCGGGAACCGTTGTTGTTGTTTTTTTTTTTGTTGTTGTTGTTGTAAACCGGGGGCCAACAACAAAGTTTGACCCTCAAGACTTTTCCTAAGGGTGCGAGCCCCGGGAAGGGCACTTCAGTCAAAAAAAACATGTGCACCGGACCGGGGGGATCAACAATAATAACTCTTCAGAAATGCGAGTTCAACACCAACAACACCAACAACAACAACAGCGGTAACAACACCAGCAACAGCAGCAGCAACAGCAACAACAATATCAACAACAACCACAACCACAAAAACAACAACCAAAACCACAACATCACCAACAACAACAACAACAACCACAACAACAACAACAACAACAACAACAACCACCAACAGCCACCACAACAACAACATTCATGTTAAGAATGTTCGCCCTTATCTGCTCGAGTGTTCAATAACGCGTATTTCCCAAACCCTCGATACCCGCCCTCTTCGTCTTCGATCGAACCCTTTTTGGGGGTCTTCCCTGCAGGTCGGGCACCGGCAAGCGGAGGGGCGGCCGCGGACCGTCGGCCTGGCCAGCGGCAGCGCTGATCGGCGGGGCGGTCGCGGACCGTCGACCCGACCCCAAGAGGGACGGACTGGGGACCGACCACGACGACGACGACGACGACGTCGACGACGACGGCGACGACGACGACGGCGACGACGAGCGAAAGCGAGAGCGAGAGAGAACGACAGCAGGGCCACGAAGGACACGAAGTAGGCCACGAAGGGCGACAGCGGGGACACGAAGGGAATGCGTATGGGGCCACGAATGCGCGAAGGAGCGGGGGCCACGAAGGGCAGATAATGCGGGGCCACAGAAGGCAACGATAGGGCCACTGAGGATAGCAACTGGGCTACGTAGGACAGTGAGGGGGCCACAAACGGCGACAGCGGAGCCACGAAGGGCATGCAAATGGGGCCGCAACGGGCGCGGCTCCTGGGTGCCTGCGTGTCGGGAGCGCGGCGCCTGAGCAAATTGCAAAACATTCTAACGCAAGGGCGCTATTCTTCAGTAAATTGCGAACAAGTCTCCAGCGAGAGCGCGACTCCAGAGCGCCGGGAGAGCGATTCCTGAATAAATTGTGTAAAGAAGTCCCAAGCAAGAGCGCGATTCCTGAATAAAATGCGAGGAAGTCTCGGGCGGGAGCGGGGGTCCTGGCTAAATTGTGAGAAGTCTCAGGCGGGAGCCGTAGTTGTTGTTGTAACCCAGGGGCCAGGGGCACAGTTTGAGCATCAAGACTTTCCCCATCAAAAAACAAGGTGCGAGCGTCGATGGGCACACTTTGATTGAGAAAAAGCAGTCTGCACCGGTGGGGGGGATGAACAATAATTATCTTCAGAAATGAGAAATTCAACAACACCAACAACAACAGCAGCAACAGCAACAACAGCAACAACAACAACAGCAGCAGCAGCATCAACAACAACAACAACAACAACAACAACAACAACAACAACAACAACAACAACAACAACAACAATTACTAGCACGTGGGGACACTCCGTTCTCACCAGTGCCAGGGTTTTCATAGGAGGCGGGCAATACCCCCACTTTGTGGGGGGGCCGGTTCAAGCTCTACCAAATTTCCAAACGACTCTTCGCCACCACCCACACCCAGCTTCCCGCCCTATGACGTTCGGACACTTCACTTCGTGGCATGCGGACGACCGTGGCTACTATTCAGGGCCCCGCGGCCGACGACGACGGCGTGCGCGCGCGAAGAAAAAACGAATGTGTCCCGCATGGTATTATTTGACAGGGATGATGGCCCTGGCAGGTGCGCAACCGTTGTTGCAGAAGTTCGAAAAAGTTGCTCGCAAAAGCCCGTTTGACAGAAATGTTTAAAAAATGTTGGGTTTCCTACGAATCCGCAAGAGCGCGGGGGATGAAATGTTGACAAAAAAATTGAAAAACCATTGGTGTTTTGATGTTTGTATGTTAAAATCACTACGAAAACTAAGGTTTTGGAAGGATTTCGTCTTGCGCGCGCGAATGTCCACTTTACCTTATTTTTTGCAAGGGATTCTTGAAGTTTGGATATGTTAGAACAAGAAATGTCCACTGTAGCTTATTTTTTGCAAGGGGAAACCGATCGTAACAACACAACCGGATCTGGATGACATCGTTTTACCTGAGACTTCCTCACGAAAATGATGAAAACGTGGCTGCGGCCTAGGCGCGGCGGGGGGGCCATGCACCAGGGGCCCCAACAATAATTATTCTTTAGAAGTAATAATGTTCAACAACAACAACAACGACACCACCACCACCACCACCAACAGCAGCAGCAGCAGCAGCAACAACAACAACAACAACAACAACAACAACAACAACAACAACAACAACAACAACAACAACACCAACAACAACAACAACAACACCAACAGCGGTAACAACACCAGCAACAGCAGCAGCAACAGCAACAACAATATCAACAACAACCACAACCACAAAAACAACAACCAAAACCACAACACCACCACCAACAACAACAACCACAACAACGACAACAACAACAACAGCAACAACAACAACAACAACAGCAACAACAACATCATCAACATCAACACCAACATCAACAACAACAACAACATCAGCAGCAACAACAACACCAACATCATCAACGACAGCAACAACGCAACACACCGATTTCGCACCACGGATCCCCACTAGAGCCACGCACCTAGGGACAATGCGTGACCAGTCGGCCCCGTCGCTCTGATGTGTGCGCTTCGCGCTGCGCGATGCTAGAAGCGCGAACAACTTCGCGCTCTCGCGCCCCCCCCCCCCCAAGAGGACCGCAAACAGCGAGCCGCGCAGAACTTCGCGCCCTCACGGCGGCCCCTGGGCCAGAGCAGAGAGGCGGCGCGGCCTCTGGGCTCCGAGCTCCCCACCGCGCACTCGGCGGCGCAACCTGCCGCCGCGGGCCGAGGGCCGAGACGGCGCCGCGCTGGCGCCGCCGCACACGCAGCTGCCTCCTCCTCCCCCTCCTCCTCCTCCGCCTCCTCCTCCTCTTCCTCCTTCTGCTCCTTCCCCTCCTGCTCCTCCTCCTCCTCCTGCTCCTCCTCCTCCTCCTCCTCCTCCTCCTCCTCCTCCTCCTCCTCCTCCTGCTCCTCCCGCTCCTCCGTCTCATCCTCCTGCTCCGTCCCCTCCTGCTCCTCCTCCTCCTCCTCCTCCTTCTCCTCATCCTCCTCCTCCTCCCGCTCCTCCG